GTGCCTGATGAAACAATTTTATCAATTGTCTTATAAAATTAGGAGCTTGTGACCAAAACACATTATAAATACTTTCCATATTTGTCATATATTAATCTATTTATATTTTATCAAAAGAGCATCATTTTGTCAGCACTGGGATAGGTTTAAATAAATTGCACCAACAAATGTATAAATGTCAAGTCAATGTTACAGAGCTATTATTACAATTATAATTTTACAGAGCTGGATGGGAAATGTTACTCAACCAACAGATTTATGTTGAGGAGTAATTTATTATGGACATTTCTTTCTTGACCATTAACAGAATAAGCTTCTAAAGTTTTTCATTTGCTAAAAACTAGAAATAAATATTTTTAAAAAAATCTACACTTTAAACAAAGTTTAAGTATAGTAAAAGTCGGTGACATGGAAAATAAAAGCGTAACAATTTAAATGATTGTAGTCTTTATACTACTCCATTACTTTTCTATATTCAAGTCTGCCTATGCATGTGCGAACACATAGGACATAAGCCAGTTTTTAATACCCGCCCTCACTTTTGAATGTGGGTATTTCATTGGTCTTTGCCAAAGGCATTGGGTCATATATCTGTCAAGATAATAGAGAGGTGCTGCCTGACAGAAAGGTCCACATGGACAAGGCCTATATTTTTTTAAATTGGTTTCTGGACTCAAATGATTAGAAACCTGGCTGGGCCAGATATCTATAAAGCTAAGTATTGCCTACAAGTTAACTCACAATTAACGTAATGCTAAGAGATACTTGGATATCAAAGAAAAGTGTAAAATTTGTTTAACCCTCTAGTCAGTGAACATGTAATAATTTTTTTTTCTGATATTATTAGATTGGATTCTTCTAAAAGAGATCTTTTGAAATTGATTCTGGTTGTGAAATGTTAACAGATATCTATAAAAGCTCAGATTGACAAGAGGAAGTTTTTAAACTTTTTACAGAGGTATATTTCATTTTACACAATCAACTTTGATATTTGCAAACCTGTCAACTTTTGGTTTAAGATTCGTGATCAGCTACATAAATAATCCGACTATTTTTATAGCCTACAATAAAATTATAAACTTAATTTTTATTGTTTATTTTGGTTTCAGTAGTCCCTTTCCTACAATTCAACATGCTGTAGCAAAATACATTCATTTGATCAATATTATAACAACCTGTGGCAAATAAACAATTTTGAAAACAGGTGGGAATGATAATCTCAGGATGAAAACTAAGAAACCTATCAATATAATAAGTCACATTTTGAAAAATCTATGTAGACCCAAATTAAAAAAAAAAAAAAAAAAAAAAATGGTTGGGGTAGAATAATATAAAATTTACTTGAGAGTTGGATAACATAATCATTGTCACCTGTACAAATAAGGACTTGATTTTCAAAATACAGTTGTGGGGAGGGGGTGAGCTTGTATTGAGAACCTTTTATCCTAAAAACAACTCCAAGTAATTAAACAAGGATATTATGTGCACCATATATAGAAAAACAGCTGTTAAGTGTAAAGCATCAGATGATATACTTCAGTATTTAACAGGAAGATGCATTTGTGTGGATGTATAAAGAATAATTCTTCTGCAACAGTGATCTGTGTGCCTTTATGAAAGAACATTTGTAAAAGAAAAAAAAAATTTTTTTTTTTAACTGACCTCACATTTCGAGTATACCTTTTGTTGAAAACTTACTTTTTCAAGCTGATTGAAAAAGGTGGTAATGCACCTATTACCATACATTTATATATTTTACAACATGACAGGCAGCCATGACAAGA